ACCCCCCCCAAAGTACCTGAAATTGATAAGCCTCCTGGGGGGCTTTTTAGAGGATTTACGGTATATTATACCCTTACTGTTTGGATGGAAATTTTTACTTGGCATTTGCAGCTTCTACTATGGCTGTATTTGAAGAGATTGTAAATTGTGTAAGTTACTTTTATGATAAGGTGCACTGAGACCTTCCTGGTGCTAACTGCCTGATCGTAAAAAATAAGGAGTGCTTTTGAAAAATAAAATTAAAATGGGTCTCTCACTTTTAAGGCATTCAACAAGCAAGCTTACAAATTTGGTATAGTTTACATGAAAGAAGGACAACAAACCGAAGAACAGCTGTTTGGTAATGAAACTCACAGCCAAGGGTTTGATGATTTCCTGAATCTGTTGGGTGAAAGAGTCAGACTGAAAGGTTTTGACAAGTACCGGGGTGGACTGGATGGCAACAATGATCTTACTGGAAAATATTCTGTGTTTACCAAGTTTGGTAATAGTGAGATCATGTTTCATGTGTCAACTCTTCTACCATTTGAAGAATTTGACTCTCAGAAGGTATTTTGTAAACTTTTTGATAAAGGACATTTACCATAATTAGAAAAACTCCTTTACATGGGTTCCCCCTGTAGGTTGACACCAGTGTCAGATAGACACCTACTGTAGTTAAAAAACCTCAGTTCAGGGGATTCATTAATGTTTTCAGCAGGAGGGCAACTGGTTTTCTCAGGTGGGCAAAACATTTTGAACTGAACTTCTTTATAAGATAAACTTTCTTCCAGATCTTTAAACCAGGTGGGCAAAACCGTCCTCACAACTGGTCAATTTGCCTGGTGCCCGGCCGTTAATGAAACCCGGCTGTTTGTCGGTAATTAAAAACCTCTTTTACCTGGACGCCTTTTACAAGTGGATGCTACTCCTAGTGGCTCCTCCTTATAGCTGGACACTTCCTTAGAGGGTACCTCTCGTAGATGGATGCCTTCTATGGGTGTACACCTGAACCCTTAGACTCCCAGAATTGAGTGATGAACAATCATGTAACCACCTCCTGGTTAGCTCGATTTGTAGAGCTCCGGACTGTTGTGCGGGAGGTCGAGGGTTCAAGTCCGGGCTGGACCAACACTCAGGGTCTTAAAATAACTGAGGAGAATTTGCTACCTTTCTATAATATCAAGAAATGGATAGATATTCTAGTCTTCTCGGATAAGGACGAATAAACCATAGGCCCTGCCTACTGCAGGGTTAGGGGTAGGAGACGTTAATTTCCCACTCGTGAGATCGCTGTGTGGTGGATGTCCTCCCCTGGGGTGGGATGGGTGGGTGTTACACAGGGCCCCATTTAAACCAGCTGAGTGCTGAACTGGGCCACCCTGTATAAATATTTGCATACATAATATCCATACATTATCCTGCAAACAGGTAATGAGAATACTCAAACTTATCTGGTAGGATTTGATATCTGATTTAACACCAAATTCTCATAACTTCTTTACAAGGAAATGTGTAGCAGCTAGAGGAGAGAATTAACAATCAGCTCTTTGGGAGTAAAGGGTTTAGTAGACTCCTCCTTTTAGTGTACCACCTTGCAAGTGGACACCTACATTAGAGACACTTATTGATGCCTCTATTGTACGTTTAAGAATTGTGGCAGTAAATATAATGACACTCAGCTTTGTTGACACATATTGATCACCTTTTTTTACAGCTTCAGAGAAAGAGACACATTGGCAACGACATAGTTTGCATCATTTTCATGGAAGCCACAAGTACTAAGTTTGTACCTGACTGTATTAAATCAAACTTTCTGCATAGTTTTATCATTGTACAAGTGGATTTGGAGAGCAAACCAGACAGTTACGTAGTAAGTGGTCATTGTGTTCTTAATTCTGCAGTCTGCACTGCTCCTTTACAATACCAGACTGAGAATCAGTTGAATTGTACCGATAAACCTGCACATCATTTGTTACAGGTATCAGTGGTGTCAAGGGACAGTGTGGTACCCTATGGCCCACCTCTGTATGACAAGTACATATTCTATAAGGTATTCTAAAATTTGTTATTAATTTGTAAAGCATTTCTAGACAATTAGACCACACTTTTTATGTAATCACCTTAGCAGGTTCTTGTGAGTATGTAAGGAAGTTTGTTTATCAAGACTCAAAAGCAAGTCAGTGATAATTTTTGAAGTCTTCTCTAAACTACCCAAGAGGCTTTTTATGTTGGTCAACCTGTGGTTTATTGTTCTACGTCAAGTAACTACTGGTTTACCCTGGCTTGTAACAAGTGCTAGACTGTTTAAAAAGACATAATGCATGTGATATCTATATATTATACAGTTATATTTAGTGTTCAAAATTATTTGCATCACAAAAAACAAAGGTTTCTCATTGGCTGATGGAAGGGAATTAACAGGCTCTATCCAGCCTCCAAATCAACATGAAAATTCTCATTACCTGCAGTCTCCTTAGGTCCTCTTAAAGTAGCAGGTTAAGGAATTTGCTGAGGAGTATTTTACTTGTGGGTTTTAAGTTCCATGATTCTTATTACCTCTATTGATGATAACATACTACTCAAGTGAAGAGAACATCTATAGACCACTTTCATAAATGGCTGCTGAATTAATATTCTTTCGTTTAAATTTAAATTAGCCCTACTGGCCTCGTTCTCCAGTACAAAATTCAAAAGAATACATTATCTCAAGCGAGGCCAGTAGGGCTAATTTAAATTTAAGCAAAAGAATATACGGCAGCCATTTATGAAAGTGGTCTATGCTGATCCCCTTTGAAGTTTGAGGGGTCAAGAGCTGTGCATGCAAAGGTATTTTAACAAGAATTTCAAGACGAGACTTCTGACAACATCCACACTTAAGAAAAGTTGTGTGGGTCATTTGCTC